TCTTCTTCTTCTTCTTCTTCTCTCTCTCCTCTCCTCTCTCTCTCCCTCTCTCCTTCTCTCTCTCCCTCTCTCCTTTTCTCTCTCTCTCTTTTCGTTTTTCCTTTGTTCTTCCACATCTGTGGTCCTTGCCTATCAATCTGTCTGTAAGCATTTTTATTGGAGCTATGAGTTAAACAGGGCTTCTGGATTAAGTTTTTTTCTCCGTTGTGTTGAGGGCAGATTACTTAAAAACCTGTACGTTAGGTTACCAATTTTCACTGATGTTTATAGAGTTTTGTATTCAGAAGGGCAGTGGCTGCAGCCTGTGATTTCTGATATTGCTTTCCACAGTTTGGCTGGGATCATTCACTAAACAAAAGGAAAAGGCTCCCTCCAGTGAAGAGGTCCTTGGTCTACTACCTGAAAGGCAGAGAAGTCAGGTTGCAGAATGAGTCCAGTTACTACCGAGTGTTGCATGGTTATGCAGCACAGCACCTTCCCAGTCTCCTGAAGGAGAGAGAGTTTCACCTGGGAACCCTTAACAAAGTGTTTGCATCTCAGTGGCTGAATCACCGGCAAGTGGTGTGTGGCACAAAATGCAACACGGTAAGCAGGAAGCCTTGTTTCTTGTGGTTTCTGCAGTTGTATGGATGGACAATTTATTTTCCTATGTGACCTGTGTTAAAATGTAAGGTTCCAGACAAACCAGAATCCACCCCCCCTTCATTTTCTCTTAGTCTGCCCAGTTTGGAGATTGCTTCAGTCCCAATGCTTTTATTCCTTCTAATTTTTTCTCAGACCATCTTGTCTGTTTGGCTTTGGATTAACCAAGGTCATCCTAAAATAACACATTTTTATTGTGTTTATGACTTACATATAACTTTTATGTGTGTTGTCTCATTTGATTCTCACAATTCTTATGAGGTAGGAAGGGCAGAAGTGGTCTATGCTACTTTAGAGGTGAGAAAAAATCAGTCAACAGAAATTTATTAAGCATCTATTGTATTTAAAACACAGCAGGTCATCAATAGGCATTTATTAAGTCTCTGCTCTGAGTTGGGCACTGTGATAAGCAAAGGGGTACAAAGAAAGGCAAGAGAGAGAGAGAGAGTCTCTGCTCTCAAGGAGCTCCCAGTCTAATAGACTATTATTGAGCTAGATGATATGTGCTAGACACTGAGGATATCGGGATGACAATCAAGTAGTTCTACCTTCAAGGAGCTTACATTCTCTCTAAAGCCATACAGATAAAAGAACAGAGGTGCATGGTTTCTTGGTTCCTAGACTAGTGCTCTTCTCACTAGACTATGAATCAGGAAGAGCAGAAAAAAGTCAAACAGTATTTACTTAGCATTTAAAATGTGCCAGTAAAGAGTCAGACTGAAGATAGTTAGAAATAAGGAAGGAGAAGGGCATGATGGGAAAGAAGGGTAGTAAAAGAAGATAGTACTAGTAGATACTAGGAGATAGGTATTGATAAGCAGCTTTTATAAAAGATGCCTTGGGACGACAGCTAGGTTTGAATTTTTTTTAATATTCCCTTCTCTCTTGTATTTTGGGGTTATTTAAACAGATAAATTTAATACTGGACAAGATGAGGGGTTGGAGAGGGTACTATGTAAAGTAGAATGCTTAAGTGCTGTTGCCCTTTAAAAATATTGTTTATAGCAAAGATTTAAATTTTGAGGGGAGAGAATAATACCATATTAATTAGAAGTGAACTCCCACTTCACCTCCTGTTGAATGTGACTCACCTTATACAAGTACAATCAAACAGAATTTAGAATTAATAGGCTTCTATAAAACACCCTCTTTGGTCATGCCTTCCTGGTTGCCTGCTAATAATAGTTGCCTTAAAATCATCTGTTGTCATTGGTGAGAGAAGGTTGTCACATATTTGAGGAAGTTAAATCATATGCTTCCTTTTTGCCCTCTTTATTTTTCAAATTCTTTTGCTTTTTCAAAGCCACAGAATTTTATTTAAAGTAGTAATGTTTTAAAAACTAAAAATAATATCTAACATTTATGTAGGGTTTTAAAGTTGCAAAATACTTGGCATATATTATCTTACTTGATCCTCACAACAGCACTGTGAAGTGAGTGATATTATTATCCTTTATTATATAGAATAAATTACTTGATCTAAATGTTGGTCTAACAAATTCATTTCTTACCTACTGCTTCTGACTTTCTGTCAGGTTCATAAAATGTGGGAGAGCAGTGGTCTTCTACCATTCTTCCTTTTTTTTTTATAGTTAGTGAGCATCTTCTTTCCTTTTATGAATTTTAGAATCACAGACTATATTCTTTCCTTTGTGCATTAATTTCTTCATTTTGTAAAATGAAGATAATGATGCCTTCCCTAGACAATCAGTCTTAGCCCATCTAATGCTGTGGGTATGAAACTGAAGATCTTACAAAGTACTTTGATTTCCCTTCACCATGTGTGTTTATGCATAAGTACTAGTATTGGTGGTCTAAAATATGGCCTCAAGCAGTGCAGTACATCCTTGGCATAGTGCCTGGTATGTAGTAGGCACTTAATAAATAGTAATTGTTGCTGAAACTGTGTTTTCCTACTGAGACTTCATTTGTCTTTAGAGGAAAATCAAGTAAATAAGATCTTTGTATAATGACTTGTGTTTTAAGAGAGTAAGGACTATAGGGAAAGAGTTTTCTGTATAGCACTACATTTCCAAGCTTACTTGGGTATTTTACTTGTTGAAGTTTGCCGTTAGTAAAATACTTAAGAATGTTTACTTGAAATGGGCAAAATCCAATGAATCACAGAATAAGAGTATGTACTAATATTTGTCCATGGGTTATGGAAATATTACAGGGTTTATATTTTATCTCTCTTGATTTGATGTTCTTCAGATTATATCCTAATGCCACATAGATAACTTTTAAGGCGGATGATTTTCCAAATTAGTCTTGTAACTAAGTAGCATTTAGATTTCTAGTGGGACTATGACTTGTTCCGAATGAGTAAAGGTAACAAAGGTTAAAAGGCCTCTTTGAAAGTTTATGTTAGGTGGGTGTTCTGGCAAGTGGAAATTCCAACAATGGCATCAACGCATAACTCGCCAAGACTCTGTAAGGCAAGATTTTAGAAGAGTGATGATAAGACATGCTTCCCATCTCTTGGAAGAGAGGTGATAGGCTAGAGATTCAGAAAGAGATACATTTACAGACGTAAATAATGTGTTGATTGTTTTGCTTGATTATATTAGTTAGAAGGGAGGGCTTCTATGGGGGATGGGCAGATGGAGTTGGTAGGTACTGAGAGTGGTCCGAGAAAAAAAACTGTCAATGAAACATTTTTAAAAATACACAGTAGAACGTGAGAAGAAATTCAGAAACAGACACAGGCAAGCAGAACAGTTTTGTTACTACTATTGTGTTAGTTTTAACATATACTTTTGTGAAACCTTAATCTCTTTTTAAAAAATTTATTTTAAAATTTTCTTTGCATTTTCAGTTTGAAATTCTTTTCTCCCCTCCAGCCCCTTTCCCACCCATTGAGAAGGCAAGAAATATAATACCTGTTAAAAACATTTCTGCATTAGCCATGTTTCTCCCTCCTTCTTTGCTGCCCCCCAAATGAAAAATAAAAGGAAAAAATATGCTTCCCTCTCCTCTCTGAGTCTATCCATTCTGTATCTGGAGATGGATATCATTTTACATCGTGAGTCCTTTGGAGTTGTGGTGGATCATCATATTGATTAGAGTTACTAAGTCTTTCACAGTAGATTAACTTTACAATATTACTGTTACTGTATAGATTGTTCTCCTGGTTCTGTTCACTTCATTTTGTATCACTTCATATAGTTCTTCCCAGGTTTTTCTGAAAACTATCCCCTTTATTATTTCTTACAACACAACGGTATTTCATCACATTCATATGTTGTAACTTATTGAGCCATTCCCTGATTGATGGGCATCCCTTTAGTCTCCAATTCTTTGCCACCACGAAAAGAACTGCTATGAATATTTTTGTATATATGGATCCTTTTCCTTTTCCTTTGATCTCTTTGGGTATAGACCTAATATCAGTGTTGTTGAGTTAAAGGGTATGCACAATTTTATAGCCCTTTGGACCTAGTTCCAAATTCTTCTTCCGAATAGTTGAATTAGTTCACAGCTCCACCAACTCCATTAGTATGCCAATTTTCCACATCCTCTCCAGCATTTGTCGATTCCTTTTTCTGCCATGTTAGCTGATCCAATGGGTGTGAGGGGGTACTTAAGAGTTACCTTTATTTAAATTTCTTCATTTATTAGTGATTTAGAGCATTTTAAAATATGATTATTGATAGCTTTGATTTTTTTCTTCTGAAAACTATTCATATTCTTTGACCATTTATCAATTGTAAAATAGTTCCTTTTAAAAATCTTAATCTCTTAAAAGATTTAATTTCATATATAATTCTTTGTAATATATAATTATATCCTATATAAGCCTCTATATCCTTTGTAAATAGAAATTTTCATGTTTGATATTTGTTGAGTCTATAATTTTTGAAAAAATTTAATATAACATTAAACTATAACAGAAGGTCAGTTTAATAAACAATCCTCTTCTCCATTCTTCATTTATAAAAATGTTTGTCAAGGTTTAAAAAGAAAAATTTTTTTTAAAGAAGCAGCATGTGCTATAATTAACATATGGTTTTCTGAGCCACTGTTATTAGGATGATATTTTCCTGGAGAGTCATCAGTTGCCCCTAGTCTCAGTTCTTTTTTTTTAAAAGAGCCTTGACAGTCAAGAATAAAGGTGGAATTGAAAACTGGAAATATCAAGGCAGTTTATGTTTTCAGATAAGGTAGAGTAGCAGCTTGTTTCAGTGAAAAGTGAACTTGATTTGGGGTTAGAGAACCTGGACTTCAATCCTGCCTCTGTCACAGTAACTGGGCTTAAGTTTTCTTGTTTACATAATAAAGGGGTTGGACTAGAGAACCTCTAAGGTGCCCACCACCATTAGAATTATAATTTTATGATCTATAATTCTAAGAAGGTACAAAGATTAGGAACAATCTAATTTCGGGTGGGGGAGAAGTAGGGAAAAGGGAATAAAAGATCTGCATTGTAAAGATATCTGCTGAATTTATTTGCAATGTCCTGAAGGTATCAAAACAGATAAAGAATTTCATTGGGATGCAAGATTGATTAAGTCAAAGAACTTGACTGGCCAAGACCAAATTTTTTTCATTGTTTTCAATTATTTCATTTCTCTAAAGGAACAAATGGTATTTGGAAAATTGGATTTTAATCTTTAAAATAATAAAAATATTAAATTCTTTGGCTGGTTTCTGATGAAATATCTTTTTCATGTCTTATATTACCTTATTTATCTTATCTACCCTAGTGAGTTGGCAACTCTCTTGCCTGTTTGATCCATACAATTAGCTCACAGTTAAATTTGTTATTCCGTCCTTTTAAAGGAATATCTTGAGTACTTTTCTACTTTTTAAGATGAAGTATTGTGTCTTCTAGGTTTAACCCATTTTGTTCTGTTTTTAGAGTATTTTACTCCTGTTGAGAGATTTACTATGAAGTGGCTTTTAGAGACTTTTATGTTTTTGGCGTTATGGTGACTCTGCTG